ACAACAACATTCACCCTTTATAAAGGTAAAGAAACTACAAGCACTTGGTGACAGTGGGAAAGAAAAACTTTCTTTTAACAGAAAGAAACTTCCAGCATAAGCAGGCAGGGAGGAGCAGCCATCTGCCAAAATAGGTTAGAGGTAAGAGGACAACACAGTAGTGAGACTGCTGTGAGTATGATTAAGATACCTTCAGTTTATGTCTCTTTTGATTTCAAATCACAAGATCTGTTACACCACATATTTACACTTAAATATTGTTTGTTTTATTTGATAGCATCTTAGTTTCTATCAGATTTTTTTAAATCAGTGTCAATGATGATGCATATTGTCAATGGATATGCATATTCTTTATTGTTTTTATTTATCTTTTTTTAACTCTTCAAATAGCTGTTCAGCACTTAGTTTGAAAGCGTTTTATAAATAAAGTTATTATAGATTATACAGTAATACTTAAGATATTTTTTTTGAATCCATAGCGTCTGTTACGTCCCTCTGCAGCCCCCAATCATCTCAATGTGTTCAGCTGGTGCTAATTGGCCACACCTAGGCAGGTGTGGATAAAAGCATACCTGAGGCAAACTTGGGGAGCGCACTTGCCTTTGCCTTGGTGGCACTAGCCATTTTAACCAACCTGCTATGCCATTTTAAAGATAAAACCTCTTCTCACCTACACTCTGGTATTCGTCGGGTTTTTTTATGTTGTGGCTTTTGAGCCGAGTAGTAACATAAGTGGGGGCTCAACCGGGAACGATGCTAAAAACAATAAAACCCTAACTTTACCTAGCTAGTCTTCAGTGGTGTACCAGGCTCCAGGTAACTTTAAACGCAAACTTGAGAGCAGGCAGCAGACCAGAGATATAGTCTCCTACCAAACTCTGAAACGTACCCCCAACCAGGATAACCACCAAACACAATAAACTAAAACATCCATCCATCCATCCATTCGCTTCCGCTTATCCTTTTCAGGGTCGCGGGGGGCGCTGGAGCCTATCCCAGCTGTCATAGGGCGAAAGGCGGGGTACAACCTGGACAGGTCGCCAGTCTGTCGCAGGGCTAACACATAGGGACAGACAACCATTCACACTCACATTCACACCTAGTGACAATTTAAACTAAAACAACAAAGCAAAAACAAAAACAAGTGCTTCGATGAAAGGGCAGCACAGCCACCCAGCTGAAACTCACTAAAGGGACGTTGCTCAATCACAGTGAACACCATCCTCTCACCCACTTTAAAAGTCAAACAAACTGATATTCAGTCTCCACAAAAATGTCCAAACAATCCTGGACGAGCCCCCACTTATGTTACAACCCAACTCAAAAGCCGCAACATAAAAAAAGATGAATACCAGAGTGTTAGTGAGAAGAGGTTTTTTCTTAAAATGGCTGGTGCCATCAAGGCAAAGACAAGTGAGCTCCCTGGAAGCTTGCCTCAGGTATGCTTTTATCCACGCCTGACTAGGTGTGCCAATTAGCACCAGCTTTTGCTTTCCATAGCTAAACTGTATTTCGCTCAAAATACTTGAGTGATTTCCTGAAGTAAATTAATTTGTGTCATGGATCTTCCTGCATTCTCTGGATCAAGGGGAGCTGTCATGACTCATACACAGTGCAGAGTCTGAATAGGTAATGTTAAGACTGTAAGTTGAATTATGAATGAATAAATTGCTTTTTATAATTAATGTTGTCTTGGATTTCATCGGCCAATGAATGTTATGCTATGTCATTGCTTTGCTGCATTCTGGTCCAATGAATATGATTTTTTTCACTGTGAATTGGTAATAATATCCGAACAAATCATCAAGCCCTCGTTAAATATTGAGATGAACCGCATTTGCTGCATTGTTATAGACTGAACAAGCCCTGTATCACTAACGGTACCAGAAATTAACCCAGTCTCCGGGAACATGAACTCCCGCCTTGGGCATCTGATTGGTTGAATATCCTGTCCATCATGGCATCCCTGATTTTCATTGGTCAGTACTCTCCTCTGAGGAATCCCCCTTTAACCGTTGGCAGAACGGTGAAGATTTTGGAGCGGACTTATACAAAGCGAGCAAGTTGAGGGAAGCGCAGCACACGGACGTCTGTCAGGGCTGGAAATGCGCTTTAGTGGTCGTACGTGAGCATCTCTGGTCCAGAAGGAACATTCCATAATCATGGAACTGGAAGAGAAATCAAAATACGGTAAACATTTAAAGCCTGAAACGGAGACGCTCACTTCATTTGTCCAAAGTCCTTATCGGCAGTTAATGTAAAACCAAGTTTTATTGCGTTTTTGGAGCGGCGAAAGTAGGTCTCACAATGGTCCCTGCAGCTTTGCTTAGTAAAGTACCTTTCCTCATTCTCGACTTTTAATTTTTCAAGTTAGCACTTTCTCTGGCGAAGTGTCGAACCCGTGTATTGTCACAAACTAACGCAATGTAAGCTAGCTTTTACTTCTGAGTCAACGTTTTCGGTTACGGTACGGGAGCCCTGTTCTGCGTGTGTGTTGTGAAAACACAGGATGCCTGAAGTATGCTGCTATATATTGTCAGGGTGCACAATGCCCCAGTTTGTGTTGTGCTTGTCCAGTTGCTGCCACATTCCTCAGACTGCTATGGCAGGCAGCTCAGCTAACCCAGCGTGCATATAGAGCACAGCGTATTAGAAAATTCCTCAAACAAGTGAAGAGAGTCTCATTTTGTCCACCGAGTGCATTCAGTCTGCTTTGGGAAGGCTATCTTTAGTTTCATTTCAAACGCAGACTGCAACTACAGTATCAGTGCTTCTCTGTTTTGGCTGTTGTAGTTCGTAATCAGGTAATGTGGGTGTAATTATGCCCCCACTTATCCCAAAATACTTGTTAAAAATGTGTTTTTATTCTTGCACATAATAGTAATTGTAGTACAGCTCAGTGAAATCAGTACAGGGGAAATGGTTATCTATGAAACGAAGAGTGATTTAAGCTAACAAAAAACATCAAACAAACAAAAAGTTATGCAGCGAGGTGTTTTTTTTCTTCCATAAAGTCTGTTTTTGGATCAAGAACATGTGCCTTTTGTACAAACTTCCAGTCTCTTCACATGCAGCTTGCAGTTTATACTGTTATCATCAACATGATCATAGGGAGGAATGAAAAGCGAGGCCAGATACTTCTGCTTGCAGTTCCTCCTGCTCTTCCCTGGACACTCCCTTTCCCACTTTGCTTGCCACATGATGGCTAATTGATTCAATTTACCTTCCACAGATTGCAATGAATATTGTGTATGTGTGTGTGCCTCTTTGTACAATGTCAGTTTGCTCAGTGTAGTTAGTTGTGAAAGTGAGTAAGAATGCCTACAGCCTCTCGAATTCTTTAATATCTTTCAGTGAATCTTCATACCAGCTAAAAGAAACAACTAAAAGAAGAAGAAGAAAAGAACAATAACCTTAATGTTCCATGTGGCAGAAAATGTCAGAACACACTATAGGATCTCCACCAGTTTTATGCGTTGGAGTAATTTCAGGCTGTAATATATGAAGAAACCTCAATGACAGGACCTGAAACAACCATGCAGCCTCGCCCTGGTGCAAGTTAGGCGTAATTACAAGTCATATTTAGTAGTGTAGCTTGAAACCTGATCTCCATGCCCCCCCGATCTCTCCGTCATGTCATGTTAGACTATGCTGAAACTACATTCAGATTTTTTTTGGAAACATTTCATCCATTCACTTTCTTTTCATTTCACTTCGTGTGCTGCATTGACACAAAAAAACAAAATAAAAATACATCTATTATTGCAGCCTTCTGTTTGCACTGAACGGTGCCTGATCATACCCTTGCAGACCAATCTGGGTTATGTGACTCTGCTAACAGGTTTGTGGTTTTGTCAGCTGCTTTGAACTACGAGAGTGTGAGGCACCAAGAGTGAGTTACTGGGTAAAAACTGAGCTATGGTCTTGTATTTATTCTCCCTGGCAGTGTCTGTGTTTGTAGATCACGTCCTTATCTCACTCACAGTTCCTGTTATTATCATCACAGGACATTGTTCCAATTTGTGCCTGAGTGTTCATGTCATATAAACAAAGTTTTAAACAGCTTCATAGAGACTTACTGTCGTCAGCTGGTGGTATTTATGATGATGATTTTCTAGGTAGGTGTTACAAGCCCAAGTTGAAATTAAATGTGTGAGTTTCACTTTGCATCATATCTGTAGCAGAAATCTCTTCCTTGCATCTGACAGCAGAGAATAGCAGTTGATATGCTCATTAGATGTAGTTAAAGTTGTTGTGCAAGTGCTCATTTTTGATGAGCTTAAAGATTAGCTGCTGTCTGAAAATACTTCAATTTTCAAAAGAAACCCTCCTCTTGCAAAAGTGGAGTCCAAATCTTTGCAACCATTTCCCAAAGGATCCAACAGCTTGCTTGCATTTTTGCGTGTGGTCATTGTGTTGCTTTTTCTGTAATACCGGAAATAGATCTGAACTTGGACTGAAATAAACCACACCCTCTTTCTGTACTGACAGACATGTGGGACACAGACAGGAAGGGCTGTGACCTTTAGCTTCAGGATTTTAAGCTAGTGCAACCAGCGGCAACCCTTGGTAACGTTTTATGCAGCTTGAGAGCAAGACAAGCTATTGTTAACATTTCATCTATTTTTACTTTATGCCAGCTGGAGCCTTTCCTAGCCACCATAGAGGAAGATCTAGGGTACACCCTGGACAGTCTGTCGCTGGGCTAACACAGAGAGAGACAGACAACCATATGCACTCACACCTAAAGGGAGTTTAGATTTACCAATGAATCTAACCAGAGAGAGTACCCAAAGAGAACCTACGTGGGGAGAAAGTGGCAACCCCAAACAACAACAAAGATGGGCAGTGTTTCCAATATTGAGATCAGCATATGTCTGCTGTAGGTTTTTACCCATTAAAAGGGAGTTTTTCGTTACCTTACAATATAAAGCACCTTAAGGTGAAGTGTTGTTTTAATTTGGTGCTATAATAAATAAAATTGAAAGCACTGAATTGTTTCTAAAGAATAAAAGTGTAAAATCTTATTTTAGGAAATGTCCTAAATGAATAGCCAGTATATCAGTCAGCTGATAAACAAAAATATAGCTCCACTTGTGTGTTTTGTGCTGCAAAGGGTCAGAATGTCCTTAGAAAACACTCTGAGAAGCTTTCATGTAACTCCAGGATGTGTGGGAAGGTATCAAGAAAATAAAACAGGGAAGCTCAGGAATGTTGGGACACACTAAAGAGTAAATGCTGCACCTGAATAAAAAAATACTGCTGAGAAGAAACAATGGAGGACATGAGCTTTAGCTTCAGTCACAACAATAATGCAGATTGGACTGTAAACGTCTTTGTGAAGGTTCATTAAAAACCAACATGGCCTTTCATTAGTAAGTTACAGCGCTTCTACATGTGGGAAATGTTATACTTTTTTTTATGCTTCCAGTAAATGCTAGTGTGTCTTGCAGCACACTGGAGAGTATTTATCAGATTAAAACTTCAAATAAATGTGCTCGCTTCATTTCCCTCACTGCATTGCCCCACGTGTTGTAGCAGCTGTCTGCAGATGGAGGTCATTTCTAATGAGTTACACATGACTGTTCGACCAGTTCCACCACACTTGATTCTAATACCTCAAATCAGTTTCCAAGGAAAAGAGCTGGATCGGTGTCGCCGTGCCAGTTATTGCAACGCGTTTTTGCTGTTTAGAGAAGTACAGGAAACCAAAGGCTCGCAGTGGTAATTCTCTTGTGCAGTAACATTAGCCAAAAAAAAGAAAAAACTGGATGGAAACTTTCATTACAGCTCCCCTTTTTTCTGGTTTCTCTGAGTGTCCGTGGAAAGCATTCGTGGCATTTAGTCTGTCTGTGGACTCTTTGTTAAAATGATGAGTTCGTTTAACACGCTCTGATTGCTTTCGGCTGTCGGAACAAACAGAAGTGGAGACCAAAATCATACAGGCAGGGAACAAAAAAAATCACTAGCTTGTAAGATTTATTGGGTTTCAATCTGCCCTCAGTGCAGTAGATCCGTGGGAAGGAAACATATACTATTTTAGTTTTTACTCAATACTGATGTGTTTAAGCTTGTGAGCTGTCACGTCGCTGCAGGTGACCATTTTACAGCCATAAATATCCCAAACACCTGAATTCAATTAGCAAGAGCATTTACACAAACCACCCCCAGATGGAGAACTCCTCCTCTGTTTACTGCAAACACATGTTCCTGATCACATACACAAATGAACTTTAGTCTCCTCCTACTCTTTCACACACCCACACCTTCTTTTACTTCCAGCCTCTCTGTAGATGAGTTAAAGTTGCCTGCAACTTTACGCGGAAACAAGAGGGGGAAAGCAGGCCGACAGAAATCATGTTTGGAAGTGCTGGGGAGGTACTGTAGGGGGAGCACAGGTCAGAAAGAGGCTGCTTTTTTTTTCGGGATAAACAAAGAAGTGTTTAGGGATGGGAATGTGAAATAGGTTGGGTGGGGCATTGGTTGTGCGGCTATTCAGGAACAGGTTGAACTGGTTTCCGACCAAACTACTTGATTCTCCCCTTACTCAGTCATTTGTGGCAGCAGATAGCAAAGGTGGATGAAGTGAACCAGATAAAGAAGGAGAAACATTTTCTTTTGCCCAGGAAGGAATTTCAACATGCCTGAGGGTGGAGAATATTATGGAAAGAACGGTACTGACTTGTTTATCTTTACTTTTGCCTCAACTAGGCACTCTTTCAAAAAAAAAAAAAAATGAATCTAAGACACGCTGGTGATCACTGGGTAATCTTTAGATTGGCTGTTTACCTTTCTTGTATAGTGCGTGAGTGCTCACACCTGAAAGTGCAGCGGCAGCCTTGAGACTAGGGGTGTGTTTGTGAATGTTTGTGTGCCACTGCCGACAGTGGATGTGTGTGCACACCGATACAGGTGTGTGGCAAGTCTCTTATCAGTGTTTTCTCCTGCACTATTGTTACAAGGTTGAATATAGATAACCACCAGAGGTGCAGATCTCTTTCTTGGACTCAATCTGTGTATTTATACTGAAGAACAGAACAAAGTTTAAAAACTAAACTTGTTTGAAATATGTTAAAGTTAGATACCAGAACACATACGAAATACAACATCTACGCTCACTATAACAGGAAGTGGTGACTTCTTCAAAAGGCTGTAACTGCTTGTTGCAACATAACCCCACTGACCACATTCATAAGTCACATACTTCAGAGTCACCACAGCTGTTGTGTTTGTCTATACTTCAAGACTCCATATGCTACACATTATTAATAGTGTATGTCTGGGCACTGTTATGATGTAGGTCTGAAGCTGGTGGAGATGTCTTTTTGTGGCATAATTGTCACAGTAATGGCAACAGGAAGCAGTCCCTCCCAACGCAAGCTAATAGCATTTAAGTTTTCGTTAAGCATGAGCCAAACTGCCCTCCTTCGGCAAACGTTGTTTTTATACCGCTGATTATTCACTGCACTGAAATGCTGACCTTTTTTTTAAACTCTTTAGTCAAAGCAAAGCTATGGACCCACTGATCAGGTCAGCAACAAACCAATGGGAGGTGAGAGTGTTGAAGTTGCCTCCTTCAGCACTGTTTCGCAGAAAGTTCTTTGTAATCTCATAGAAAGGTGATATGCCTGGCTGTGAAAGACCAACTGCCTTTTGTTTGTGAGTGTAAGACAAGAAAGAGAGCTGGCTGAAAGGATGTGTTAAAGCACAAAAGCTGAGCCGCTACACCAAAAACCATAGACGGTATAAACGATGGGTATGAAATGTGAAGCTAGCGTGCTGCTACATTAAAACTGTGGTTGCAAAAGACATTTCCAGTTCTATAGAAGTGTCTGGGAAAAGAGCCCAGACCGCTGCAAACACTTTCCAATTGAGCTTTTGTAAATCTTTCTTATTTTAAGTGTAAGATAGGAGGATTTGCCAGGATATCCCCACTGAAGCACCAACCCTCACTGTCAGGTCTGTTCCTTGCTTGTTTACATCAGGTGTCAGGTTTGGGGTGCTTCTTGTGACAATTTAGCATTAAAAGTATAATTTGGATTAAAGAGTTTGTGGATTAACCATTAGAGAATTTGGACTGGAACTGGAACGTGAAATTTGCTTAGATAGCAGACACACTACCGTCAGATAACCTGCAGCAAGCTCAAGTGTCTGCTTGAACCTGCAACTTTAGCTGAAAGAACAGAAAACATAGTCCTTATTATAAGAGACAGCATGTTGTAATCTAACCATATTTAGACAAAAGAAAAAAGTTTGCTCATTTTATGAACTGGGAAGTTGTGTTTGTCTACTGATGAGCATGATAGCTTTGTTTTGACATAGAGCTGTATTAAAACAACAATACTAGCTCCGCTGGTGGCTTTACACATGGGATGTTTGCTCCTGCTGTATTATGAGTTTTATATGAGCTCCCGGTTAGTCAGCAGGGAGGAATTTGATGAGTTTCTGGGCGTGTCTGGCCTTCAGGGGAAGTCATCTGTGAGAAAAATGGGAGGAAGACTCTGTTGCACTGCTCCATGGCCTTGATCCAGCTCTGGTTTTAACATAAATTAATGAGCAGCTATTATAAAGATGTTTACTTAACCCTTTAAACCCCAGCGTATCGTATTTGGTACATGTGTTTTGTGAGGTTTTTTTTTGTGTGACATCTATATCATCAGCGTGACTTTTTTTACCCTCAAAAATGATGTAAATTACATGACATTTTAATGACTAAATTTCAAAAATATGGCTTATGTATATGGCTTCAAGTGTGTTACAAATTAAAACTCATGTATGCAGATTAAAATTTGATATATTCTTATATTTTGTCTAAAGGTAAAAATAACCCACTCCATTATTCAAGTCAAAATTCAAAATTTTTGGCAGTTATTTCATGGTTCAGGTTTTAAAGGGTTAAACCTCTCAGCGAGCCATGCTTTCAGTTGCCACAATGCTAAGAGCTCATTGATTGATCAATGCATTTCTCTCCTTTCATGCAGGTGAGCCCAGGAAGCATGACCCGAGCTTCAGGGGCCCAATCCAGAACAGGTGAGACATGTGGCTGTTACACTGTGCAGATGACTACAGAGGACTCCATTAACCATTTGAACTCTCTCCACTGTAGGGGCTGCACAGACATTGTTTGCTGCATTCTGTTCATTATTGCCATACTTGGTTACATTGCAGTGGGAATACTTGGTAAGGAGACAACACAGAAGCACAAATATCCAAACTGAAAGCAAGTTTCATAACCTTTATATCTCTCTTTTTTTTTCTTCTTTTCTAACCCAGCCTGGTCCCAGGGTGACCCAAGAAAGGTGATCTACCCCACAGACAGCCGAGGACAGTTCTGTGGGCAGGCTGGCACTCCACTCGAGTGAGTTGCTTTCCGAAGTATAGATAAAATGGTCTCTGCTGCACGATTTTTCTTAATTTGAGTGTGATCTTTAGGGTATTTTGAAAGTTTGAAAAGGGTGGAGTGCCCACTACGGGCCGGGGACGAGTTCCTGCCCCAAGTGGAGGAGTTTAAGTGTCTCGGGGTCTTGTTCACGAGTGATGGGAGAAGGGAGCCGGAGATCGATAGACAGTTTATTGAAATTGAAACAGTTGAAACGGTTTATTGAAATGTGTTAACATACATGGATGTATATAAGACAAAAGACAGAGTTTGTACAACTCAAAACAAGCTTGTTGGTGTTCGGTGTGTTGTCCCTAAAGATACATATATTAATTTATTTTTGTCTGTTTCTTTCATGTTCATTCCTTGAGTTAGGTGCCTTTTTTATGCCTTGATGGTTCATAGCCTAGTGTTAAGTGGCCAGAGAGTCTGGCTCCTTGGAAGCAGAAATGAAGGGTGGCTCAAAAGTTTTGGGTGGTTCTTTCGATTCCTCAGGCTTTTTTGTGTACCACCATCTAAAAAGATATACAACTGGTTTGAAAGCTTAGCTAGCTAACTTAATTAGGCAACATTAATACAATCAATTATGACTAACAAGTTAACTCAAAGGCTTTCCTGGCATGTTTACATTAAGTTAGTTCCCAAAAAGTAGACTCTGTTCATCTGGACGTAGCGTTTTCAGTGGGAGAAACGTTTCGTCCCTCATCCAGGTGACTTCTGCAGTCCCAGCTGAAAAGAATCAATTTTGGGGAATTTCCTTACCTGGTACTATCATTCATTTGTGTTATTAGTGTTATTATTATTATTATTTGTATACTTTTTGGGTTGTTTCAATAGCCACACCATGTATTTTTGGAATGTGTAAAAGTAAACTGGAAAGTACCTAGCACATGTTAGCCAATTGAAAGGCAGGACCGCTGAATAAACCCTGCAAACACTGTTGTGACAGCATTGTGTTGTCCCTGGACAAAAATAGTTAATTAGAAATTTGTGTACATTTCTGTGCACTTTCTTTGGTCTTGTTCCCAACAGGAAGAAGCCCTTTTTGTTCTACTTCAACATCATGAAGTGTGCCAGTCCCATGGTGCTGCTGGAGTTCCAGTGCCCAACCACACAGGTGCCAACTCCTCTGTTGATGAATCTTTATAATATTTATTTAAACAAAAAGAAAAACACAATATACACTATGTGCTTTGTCGTGAAGGCTTAAAATTATGAGTGTAGAGTTGGGGCAGAGTTGGCATTTTGCTTTTGTTTACAGATGAGGATAAAAGTTACTCTCCCAGCCCCCTATCAGCAAGTTTTCTTTAGAAAAAATACATTTGTGATTGGCCAAAATAACAGAATTATTTCAGAAAACAAAATGAACAGGGTCAGTGTTTTTAGGCCTGGAAAAACTGACCTTTTTATTGAGCCATAGTACAAACCACTACTGTGCTTTGTAATCCTCAATGCTTAACAACATCAACTGAAAACTGAGGGTTATTTTCCAATTTACGCACAATTTAAAAACTCCAACATGGGTTTGAACTGTTCTTTTGGAACATTTTATTGTCAAAAACAAAAGAAATCAGTTTAAGCTTAAAGAATTATTGACGCTAACAAAACAGGAGGTGGATATGCAAAGATCACAGCGGTTCCAGGTATCACGGGCTAGAGTGAGAAGTGTCATAAAGAAATTCAAAGAGCCACACAGTAGAAAACAAGCCTGCCAGTAGTACGAAATGAAAGCTTTCAAAGAAAGGACTCTCACCAGTGCACCCCCGAACAACGATAACTAGAACCCTGTACAGGAATGGATGGGAGGAAAAGCCTCATTTCTGTAGAAGAGACGGCTAAGAACAAGCGGAAGAAGGATTATTATTACATTATTTCTTTGACTGCTTTTGTGATGGGAATGTGGCCTGACTGTCCTGCTGTCCATGTTCATCTTTAGATGTGTGTGGAGAAGTGCCCTGATAAGTTCATGACATTAATCAAAGCATACGCTGTCAATAGTGACTTTGCCTACTATAAAAACTTCTGCGAAGAAGGAGTGACCAACACAATGGTGAGTTGTACTTGAAGTCTTCTGTACTATCTCGGGTATCGATATATTCGAATGCTTTCTACAGACCTTCACTTATGTTTGGATATACTGTGTTTTTAGGGTGTTGCAGAAATCCTTAAGCAACGTCTCTGTCCTGCAATGCTGCTTCCCAGCAAACCCTGTAAGTAGAATCTCTAAATATGTGTAAATGATTCTTTTTCAAAGGAATTTTAGGGGAGTGGAATATTCATGCAATGATAGTATCATTGCATGATTCATGACCTTTGACCTTTACAAAAAGGCAAGCAGAGAGACTGTCAGATTTATACACACAAACAAACCCATCTTACCCCATTTTTAACAACTGGACAACATAAATTGGATCTGATTCAATCACATCATTTGTGCTGCTTATCTGCACTGTACTTGAACTTCTTTATCTTTCTGCACTCCTTCCTGGCTGAAGAATTATAAAATATTTTAGTACTGTAGTTTAACAAATATCTAGTACAAATTATTTACTATTAGCTGAAAATGACACATCTTTTTTTTTAGAAATAATTAATTTACAAAAAGAAGCCAAAGAAGCCCCACTATGAAAACATCTCACTACACATTGTTACATCCTGTGAGGCTGTGGGAGTACCTCTGCCTGGCGTTCTTTTCATTTCACCTGGATCCAACTGTTACTGGCCCCCCACCCTCATCGCCTAGCTTTTATGTGGGGACATAACACACAGAAAACTGTATTATTCTTTACACATGTAGGGAAACACATTTCATTTGTTTGTTTTTGTATTTTTGACAATGACACGTTTCTCTACTTTTCTTTCAGTCACCCGCAGGTGCTTCCCAGCTTTGGGCATGAAAGGAGGGGTGATAACTGTGGGAAACAGCTCCACATTTAATGATGGAAATGAAATTAGAAACGCCCAAGACCTTGTTGCTGGTGTACAGTGAGTATACATCAGTAGAATTTTGCGACACAGCTAGTTTTCAACTACATTACTCTCTCTTGGTCTGTGTCAACCGGCCACTACAAATAAAGTGTGATGAGAAATTCCTGAAGCAGATAAACATACGGGGCTCTCTCCACAGGAATGCCACTGTGGTAATGGAAGCTCGTCAGGTGGTGATGAAAATCTTTGAGGATTTCACACATTGCTGGTACTGGATCCTCTTGTAAGTAATAAACTCTCCTTTTTCATCCTTGTCAGCTCTGTTTGTATTGCAAAGAGATTTTCCTTAAATTGACCGTACCTCCTCTTTGCAGGGGATTGGTTATAGCCATGATCATCAGCCTCGTCTTCCTCATCCTCCTCCGCTTCCTGGCAGGGATCATGGTCTGGGTCATGATTGCCATGTTGGTAGCGGTAATAGGCTATGGTAAGAGACAAGGTGGAAAATATCATTGTGGTTCATAATGGCTTAGTAATCTGGTCCTACCCAGAAAGCAGGTCCAGACTAGCTGGTCACCAAGTAAATCATGAGTGTCAGTATAACCGTGAGCATGCTCAGTGAATACACTAGTATTCAGCACAGCAGGAATATTAATGCAGGGTTGGTAACTTTTGACTGGGGATAAATTGTGAAAGTCCTTGTCAGAAAACTGTAGTCAGTGTGGAAAAAATGCAAACTGAAGGAATTTGCATGAAAGGAAGATGCAAAGTTTGAGTGAAGTGACCCACAGCTGTGATGTTAGATTTTCTATTTGAATAAAAATGTGCCATTTGTTTAATTGAGTGTGAAGAAAAACACAGCGTCACTTCCTGTCATATCCTATCCTGATCCTTTCACACTAAAAGGAATGAGAGTATGAGACACCTTTGGGGGAAAGATGTGTCTCATGCAAAAACAAACAGCTGGCAATGCTTAATTTTGCATGTGCTTACCAAGCGTATATTAAAAAAACACACATTCATTATTGTGGGAAAAGGATTTTCTCCATCATTACCAAGTCATTGATCATTTCACAGATTACTTCAAAGTATCTCTAAACAGTGCTGTTCACACTTGGCAAGCTTAGCGCAGAGTTCAGTTTCAGTGTCTCAAAAAGTAATTAACTTTTATTTTAACTGCTTTAAGCTTTTCTTTTTAACTCCTACCATCCACGTAACCCTCAATCTCTGCTACCTTGCTACTCTCCAGTGTACTACTGAAGAATCACTGACAGACTGATTTTACAGTCAAAGAAAGAGCAATGCAAGTTTGTATTTTTATGGCTTTAACAGACGACCATAAGACCGTCAACTGAAAACAAATCTGTTCTAAAGGAGTGGAATTGAAAAATGAATGTGGAGTGTTAGCAAAACAACTAGTTAAACTTTGCAGACGTGTTGAACCACGTAATTTCTCAGATTAATCTGAAAGTGCTGATGTTGTCTCCTCTCCATCAGCTCATCCACAACGGCATGTGGGGAAAAAAACCACAAAAACCAAAAAAACAGAAATTAATACTCATTTGAAAGAGAGGTGTGCTGCTGTTTCCAATGGGATACAAGGAAAGTGTGCTACCAGGGATAAAAGAAAATTGTGGCCACAAGATGGAAAGATTGATGAAAATAGGCTAGGCTAATGTGAAGATAAACATCACTGTAAAATGATCTGCGGCAAATATAGTAAGAATGTTCTTAAGAATGATCTAGTATCCTACTTGACCTTTGATTTTACTTATCCAACATTTCTGTGCCTTAATTGGCTTTTTTATTGACTGAAAAGAATACAGTTTTTTCAGGGTCAGCAGGGGGCAGAGAGAGAAGACTGCTGAGGTAGATGTCAAAGTTATCATTGTAACCGATTCACAGTTGATCTGACTCTTGAAATGAAAGAGATCTCCTCGTCTGTTTGGAAGCAAACCCAAAAGGAAATAAGGCCCCTTTTTCCACCTGCTTTCCCAAAAAATTTATTTGCTTTTCTGTGTGCTTCCTGTTGCTGATTAGGTATCTTCCATTGCTACATGGAGTATGCAGCCCTGAAAGGAGAGGCCGGCGCTAATGTGACTATCAAGGATCTGGGCTTCCAGACAGATTTCACAGTCTACCTGCAAATTAGACAGACCTGGCTGGCCTTCAGTCAGTATACATCCTCAAAATCTCCATGGATTATCATCCACATTCAACATATGTTGATTTAAACTTGAGACACTCACATGATTTTTCTCTTATCTCCTTATATAGTTATTATTCTAGCCATTGTGGAGGTCATCATCATTTTGCTGCTCATCTTCCTTTGGAAGAGGATCCTCATTGCCATTGCTCTTATTAAAGAAGCCAGCAGGTCAGCCTTCATTTTAGAGCTGTAGCAAGTAGGAGAGAAACAGATCAATAAAACTTAGACGTTATATTGTTTATTTTAGAGTGACTCACAGTAATGGATTTAAGCGCTGCATTAAGGGTGCAGATAAAGAACCTGATACATAACTGTGAAGGTAGATGTTTGCATTTTGTTTTACGACTGATGCTGTGATCCTGTTTTCAGAGCAATTGGACATATGTTGTGTTCCCTTTTCTACCCACTGTTTACATTCCTCCTCCTGGCTGTGGTCATTGCCTACTGGGGAGTAACTGCTGTGTATCCTTTCAAGCTATTGTTCGTGGTAGTGTTGTTATTTAGGGTTGATGAGGAAATGAAAAATACAACTCTGAACTGTTTTGTTTTTTTAATGTTCTTGAAGAATTTAAACTTTTAAACTGACTTAAAAAATTAATGTGTCTATGAATGAACTGAATGAACAGTTGAGGTAAAGATACCTTAGACGGAGTCTGTGCAGGGATGATGAACAGGGCTGGTAAATTCACATTAAAAGCTAAGGTTGAAGTTTGATCATGCATACTCTGCAGCTGCGTGATTAAAGTGCACTGCATTCATGAACAAATAAACCAATCAAAACAGAGGAACATGCATATTATTCTTTATTATTAGTAGTATTATTATACACTCATAATTGTCAGTTTTGTTATCAGTTGATGATGGTAAGCCTTAACAGAACTGATCAGTTTCTTGTCCACGTCCAATCAGCCTATCTACAAAATCTTCAATGAGACAAATTGTGACTACTCAAGACAAACGTGTGACCCGGCTGTAAGTTTTTCTCCTCTTTATTTGTGTGTTAAATTTTCATCTCACTTCACTTCCATGCATGCTGCTTGGATTTAACGTTTTGGATTTGAGAAATATATTTGCGGCGTCACTAAATTAACCGTGTCTTTGTTCAGAACTACTCGACGAGTCCCATGAAAGCCCAGTGTGCTGACTCAAAGTGCCTTTTTGCTTTCTACGGTGGAGAGACCCCTTACCACAAATACCTAATTGCCCTGCAGTTCTACAACGTCTTCCTCTTCTTTTGGTGTGCCAATTTTGTCTTGGGACTAGGACAGATGACCCTAGCCGGGGCGTTTGCTTCTTACTACTGGGCTGCCAAAAAGCCAGATGACATTCCTGCTTTCCCAGTGTTTTCTTCTCTTGGGAGATCTCTCAGGTTTGTATCTGTGTTGGGTGAAGACTTTTAGTAAAACTGTCTTCTGACATTTGCTTTGCCGGGTCCTGAAACATACTTCCTGTTTTAATTCTTTAATTGTTTTAGGTATCACACAGGGACTCTGGCGTTTGGCTCCCTTATCCTCTCCATCATCCAGATCATCAGGGTTTTGCTGGAGTATCTGGACCACAAGCTAAAAGGTTTGCTACATTTTATGGAGTCATAAATGACTCCATAAAAGTGACCTATTTAAGTCTAACATCTGTTAAAGGTTGATTGCTCTCATTCACAGGAGCCCAAAATAAGTTTGCAAAGTTCCTGTTGTGCTGTCTGAAGTGCTGTTTCTGGTGTCTGGAGAAATTTGTCAAGTTCCTGAACAGAAATGCGTATATTATGGTACGTGTTTCAGTTATTATTTATTCAAGTCTCTGAGCTGGTGTGATTAAAAGCTTGGTACTTATAATGTTAAATGTTATCTTGATGTAATGACTGCATTTGGCCTCTAGTCGGCGATCTATGGGAAAAACTTTTGCACCTCTGCCAGAGACGCCTTCTTCCTCCTCATGAGGAATGTGATCAGGTGAGTGTAAAATCATCACCTCATCAGGAAGCATTTTGTTAAATGTTTAATCGTATAAAGCTGACTGGAGTAAATGCCTGTTTTTAAATCCCGGCAGGGTGGCTGTGCTGGATAAAGTGACAGATTTCATTTTATTTTTGGGCAAACTGCTCATTGTTGGGCTTCTGGGTAAGTCTGCTTTTTGTTTATGTAATTTTTTTTTTCTTAATGTTGACCATATCAGACTAAACCAGCATTTCCTGGAAAGATTGTGTCGACCCATCGCTGGATGACCGATTCAACTCACAGTCCAGAAAAGTCTGCATAGCAGATGAAATCCTGCAAACTTACTGCAGGACCTGCTGGCTCCTTTAATAAGAGCAAACTTGCAAACTGTGGTGTTTTAGGATCTGTTTATATTTTGGAAGTAGGATTTAATTGGAGCTTTAAATAGGACTGGATCGCTTCCACTGATTTTATAATGTACAACATTATTTATAGCTAATAGAAATTGTAATCATCAGCTCAGACTGTGTAGTGTACATGGGAATTGTATTTATATATTCTTTGGGGTTTCTCTCCACAGGGGTCTTTTCCTTCTTCTTCTTCTTCTCTGGGAGAGTGAAAGCCTTTCAGAATACAGCTCCAACCCTGAACTACTACTGGGTACCCATCCTGGTAAGCAGGACTGAATTTCTATTTTTTTCTTTTCTTGTCTTTAATTGTTTTGTTGAAGGATAATGTTTGTGTGGTTGTTGTCATCTCTATCAGACTATGGTGGTTTGCTCATACCTCATCGCCCATGCATTCTTCAGCGTGTACTCCATGTGCGTGGACACTCTGTTCCTGTGTTTCTGTAAGTGACACATTCTCAGTCAGTTGTGACATCTGTATGTAATTCAAATTATTCACGCAAACGTCCAAACAGGTTCTTACGTGAAAGGGGAAAAAAAAAACTGTGGAGGAAGGGCGTAATGTTAGGAATGAGCGAAATGAAAACTTTTCTCACTTTGCTTCTGGTGTTGGGCTGTCACTAATTTTAAATTGCATGAAATACGGTGTGCTACATTTCAAAATAACAGCCTGCTCCTGTTAGCCTGAAAAATGTTGCTGCTTGGTGATGAAGTGATACTTTGGGTGCTTTTGCTTGCTTGCCATTTGACTTTCTTTCTCTTTTTGTGTCTCCTTTCCTATTTCTCACTTCCTAATTCGCCCCCTCTTATTTCCCTTCCCACTTGCCCTCTAACACCCTGGTGTATACATAAATTTTTTTCACATTCACCCATTAACACAAAATAATCAAAAACACGATAAGGTGAAGACCTGGAGCGCAATGACGGCTCAGCTGCGAGGCCTTATTACATGTCGCCAAGTCTTCGTGAGATTCTGTGGAAGAACAAGGAGGAGGATCCATCTGAGCCCTCCGCTCAGCAGCAGCAGCAACACGATGAAGACACCCAGCTGAAACAGGAGGCTCAGGAGGAGGACACGGCTTAGAGAGGAGTTTGTGGGGGGAAAAACTCAGATTTTCCACTTAATTACAGGCAGAGCAAAATCCAGAAAGTCTTTTTATTTTGAACCCTTTCAAAGTATGAGCTGGGACTCTGTCATCTGCTCCCTTAACTTCTCTCAGATACTAGTACAGCTACAAAACACCACGCCTTAAAATTGCAGGGATTCAGCATTTTGCTTTAGTCCACTTTGTGCAGATGCAACCCTGCAAGTTTCAAAATGAATGAAGGAAGTTTTTCAGTTCAGAGTGATTTCAGCATCCTCCTGAGGTAATAGGACGTTGAACGTTCCCTAAATGGATTATCTAGGCTTGGTTTCGTTTGCCTCTGGTGGTCTTTAAACTGTTACATCCGACACTAAGTAGCGTTTTATACAGCAGCGGATACCACGTTGTCTGCAGTAGAATTTCACAAACTCACAGCAAATACTGTCGAATACTATTTGTTATATTTAGAAAACACATTTAAGAGTAAAGCACGTGGCTTCATTTTTTTAGTGGTTCTTTTACTCGCAAGGCATCACCACAGCGATCCAATCTGCATATTTGATCTTGTGGATTTTGACACTGGATGCCCTTCCTGATGTAACCCTGCTAGGAATTTGTCTCCTCCCCAACTGGTGATCTTTTGCTTGTTAGGCAAATATTTTAACCAAAAGTAAAGTAGACTGCCTAAAAGTAAGCCTAAAGCATGGATTGTTGCTAGGAAATAATAGTAATAATAAATCGAACACAAAAACAAACAAAATCACACTACTGTAGTACAGTATAGGACAAGAAAACTCTGGTTACAGCTGGTAACCAAACCCTGTAGAAGCTATAACCAGAGTCTTTTAAACAAACTACTTTCTTATGTAATAGGGTAGTTTAATAGAGTTGCATTTGTGTCTTAAACCTGCTTTTATCCTAGCGGCAAGTAGGGGGCGGCGACTCAAGTTATATGGAAGTCTGTGGGAAAACAAGCCTACTACTTACTATATTTATGACCTCAGTAAATGCAATCCTCAAACTGATGATGTCATCAGTGGCTAGTGTGATATCATGAGTACAGAAAAATGATTAAACTACTAATTATGGTCCAAGTTACTCTAACAGACTTGAAGAGATCCACCCTCACACTTCATATCTTGTTAAAAAAACAAACAAACAAACATTATACGATGGGAAGGGCCAAAAGTTGGGGTTCCAAAAACCAAAAGGTGATGTCATAGTGGCCATGCTCGTGTTTTATATACAGTTTGTGATTGTTTCTAAAATAATTCAAATAAATCAGCACAACAGACATTATTCGTCACTATGGAGGTGGGGCTTAGCGAAGGGTCAACTTCAGCAAACAGAAGGGCTTTACAGCAGGCAGGAGTTTGGTATGTGTTTAATTGTTGTATGAATTTTGTGATACGAGTGATGTCACCTCACACTCAGAGATTTATTGACACTCGCTTCATCCTGTTTAGCGTGCTGAAAGCTGGCAGATGTTTTATGGCTATTGAAAATGTGAAACTTCAGTGAACATCTGGGTAAATGGCTCCCTATGAGGTGACTTCATATTTCTAACTCGGCGTTGCCTCCATAAAACATGCTCGCACTGCCACTAGCTAATAGAAACTTGAAGCCAATCATGTGCCTAATTGACAGCATTATTAATGTTTTGCACATTAGTGTTTACAGTTGATGCAAACAGAATCTTTTTTTAATACACTCAGTGAAGCACTTTAATCTATGTTCACTCTAAGCCATAACACATTTGTCTGTTTAATGAATGCTGGTGAGTCTTTTAGTCGTGCAATTTTTGTTTTGGTTTTTTAAACTGTAAATTAGCGTAGCTTTGCCTTTTAAAATATTTTTTTAATGACTGTGTGTTTTGCAGTGCAGTTGGTTTAATAAACACAATTTAACCAGTGATATCTGTTTAATTAAAAAAACGGATGCTTTTTTTTGTTTTGTTTGTTTGTTTGTTTGTTTGTTTGTTTTTGCAGAACTGAAAGGTTTTCATTCAGATTTCCTACCTGTCAATATACATTGCAAAATCTAATGCTCATTTAAACTTATGCCAAGTCCTCGAAAGCATGGTTTAATGTCCTTTTCTTTGACCTCTTTCTAGTGGAGGATTTGGAGAGGAATGACGGCAGCCCGGAGAGGCCCTACATGATGTCCGAGAACCTCCTCAAAATCCTGAAAAAGAAGAACAAGACTGACCCAGCTCAGTAGACCACTCCGTGTAGCGGGGTGAGATCGTGGGCTAAAGACAACTGGGGTTTTGTTGAGTTTGAAGTTGGATAACAAGTTCATGTCATCGATTATAAGCTGTGTCTGCTGAATTTGGTTATTACTAAATGCTTCATAAGCTCTTCTGAACCTCAGTTTGGACACAGACCTAAAAATGTCCACATTCCCACATCTTGTTTCTTGCTGAAAGCATCATGAAGTCTGGCAGGTTTTGTGGATGTTAAAAACGTAGAGACTGCACGTTTATCAACTGAAAAAGAAAAATGAACAAACATGTTAGTGGTATGTAGAATTCTTGTTTTTTTTTTTTTTTTTTTTTTTTGTCATGTTTTACTGTTAATATTTGAGTAGTACAGGAAGGTACATATAAAGGGTCATCTGCTACAGTTTTGTAATATGATCTGTTTTTATTCTTGTATTTTTTTTTTTTTAAATATCTATAAATATGTATAACTTGTGTCATATTTGAATTAACAGTTAACCATGTAGGCACCAAAGCCATTACCCCAGCAGTCAGGTATACATAGTGCTTTTATACCACTTTGCCTAAAGCATCTGGTGCTGCGGTGTTCCTGTCATCAGCAGCCATATGGAAATATAACCAAAAGCAAAAAAACCTTGTATCTTGATAGATGTGCTGGTTCGGATGAGGGGATTTTTTTTTTTTTATGTCAGTTATGTGAAGCTGAACTGTTTTCAAATAAAACATAGTTTTCTATAAAAATCCATGTGACTCTTTATATATTCATATACCGAAGGCTTTAAGGTGCTCCCAGTACTTCAGCATTGGTGTCATTCTGATAGACCTGATGTGACTCGAGTCTTTCAGGTACTGGGGATAAGCTCAGGTTAGTTTCTTTTCTAAGCTTAAATGGTCACACTTTCTGTTCCCTGCTGGAACTGAGAGTGTGACCATCCCCTCCCCCCCAAATAAAAAAATTCTATATATTGATTTTGAATAAATCCTTACAAAACTAACATATAAATGTCACATCTTTCCTTTTAGCTTTAAACTTGGAAAACATAGTTACAGTTTGTAGAAATCCATAAAATCCTAGCTGCTGTTCTACGTTTGACCATGAGAGGGTGTGCATATCCTCACTACAGGTCATTCAGCGTGGCACAGTAAAATCACCTGCAGTGTGTAAATGCTGGCTTTACGTAAGTGTCTAATGACTAATGCGGGAAAGTCTGTCAGGGTTTGATAAAAATCAACTTTCTAGGAATCATCAACAACTCTGCAGTAATGGAATATGGCTGAATACTTTTAAAATACTCCGTTACGGTTCAGAGACAGGACCTTCAGTCAGAGAGCTGCCAGTAGACACACTTCTGGAAATGTTTTAATGCAGAGTGTTTTCGAACAGGTAACAGGATGCCCTTGATTTTGAATGAATACACTGCTAAAAAAAAAATTAAAGGAACACTTTGAAAACACATCTGATCGTTATGGGGAAAAATCATGTTGCGTATCTATATTAATAATTTTGGGGGGAAATTTGTAGGAAGGAATAGGATGCCACAATGTTTGATGAAAATGACAGTTATCAAATTATAGAGGGCTGAATTCAAAGATAAAGGAGGGAACAAAATGACATGGCAGGCTCGTCCTTTTTGCTGAAATTTCACTGAAGCTCAAGAATGGTTCTCAGCAGTGTGTATGGTTCCCACGTGCTTGGGCTCCTCCCAGATCTGGACCAGGGCAACACTGAGCTTCCAAACAGTTTGACGTGCAACCGAAACATGATGTCGCAGAGTTCTTCTGTTGGATTTAGGTCAGGTGATTGTGGGGTCCAGTCAATGGAGTCAGTTTCTTTATCCTCCCAGGAACTGCCTGCATACTTTTGTCACATGAGACTTGGCATTGTCACACACCACGAGGAATCCAGGACCCACTGGACCAGTTGAGGGTCTGACACTGGGTCCAGATATTTCATCCCAATATTTAATAGCAGTCAGGGTGTTGTTACCTACCCTGCAGAGGTTTGTGTGTCCCTCCATGGATATGATTCACTGTCAGTGACCTATCACCAAAATGGCCATGCTGAACAATTTTACAACCCACATAATGTTCTCCAAGGCTTCTCCAAACCCTTTCATGGCTGTCACATGTGCTCAGGGTGAACTTGGTCTCATCTATGAAAAACAAAGGGTGCTATTGGTGGACCTCAATAATTCTTGTATTCTATGGCAAATGCCAGTTGGACTCCATAATGCCGGGCAGTGAGCACAGGGCACACTACAGGACATCAAGCCCTCAGGCCACCCTCATTAAGTCTATTTCTGATTGTTCGGTCAGAGACATTCACACTAGTGTCCTACTGGAGGTCATTTTGACTTGATGCTGTACTTGAACCTGTATTTTTTTAAGCATTGTACTTTGTTTTAAAGAATTCAAAGACTTCTCAAGCTGTGTTTATGGTGCATGCACTTTGTCACGTTGACTCTGAGCCACTGCCTCAGTGTCGCTTCCCTCCATTTTCAGTACAGCTCCTCTGTGACACTAAGTAAATGTTTGAATGATGCCAATACTGAGTGAACTCCAAGTGTCACACCTTTCCTTCAAACCTGTCATCCACTGCAGCGCTACATGCTAGAGTTTGATAATGGCTCAAGAGTTGGGAGTTCGCCTTGTAATCGGAAGGTTGCCGGTTCGAGCCCCGGCTTGGACAGTCTCGGTCGTTGTGTCCTTTGGCAAGACACTTCACCCGTTGCCTACTGGTGGTGGTCAGAGGGTCCGGTGGCGCCAGTGTTCGGCAGCCTTGCCTCTGTCAGTGCGCCCCAGGGTGGCTGTGGCTACAATGTAGCTTGCCATCACCTGTGTGTGGATGGGTGGATGACTGGATATGTAAAGCGCTTTGGGGTCCTTAAGGACTAGTAAAGCGCTATATAAATACAGGCCATTTACCATTTAGAGTTTCCACATGGACGATGAGTCATTCAAGGAAAGACATATCATACATGGTCGGAGAGACCACATGCAAAGAGGATTGAGATGCAAAATTCAGTGATATGAAGCCATGACACTATAAACACCCATGACACATGCTACGACGCAGAACCGGAATACCATCTGCTACCTTCAAATCCATGCATCATTCTGTTTCTGAGTCAGCATGCACAGAGGGCAGGTTTGTGGTATTTCTTGGCCAAGACCTCGCTTATGTTACATTACCCATGACCGACTGATTTGATCTGCTCGTGGTTTGCGTAGATGCAGCGCGCTGATTCAGTAACCCACCTGACTTGCGGCATAATACATCATGCTCTATGAATACTTCCAGGGAACCTGGGTGAACAATGTTTAAGACCTCTGATCCCACAAGATGCTGTTTTCATAGCGGTTTCACGTCAGAGGTCCTGAAGTGGTCAACAAAGCTCGTTTTTTTTCCTTCCAGAGAACACCTGAACAGCCCGAGAGTCATTTACAAGAGTGGTGGAGTCCTTAAGACTGACTGGTGTGCACTCACCGTCTCTGTGTGAGCCTTCTAACCCTGAACAATGTAACACAGCTTTTTGGTAATCCCTCAGTCGTTTCTAGTTCAAGTGCTTTTTCCCCCCTATTAAAAAAAGGCTGAGTAAAGATAATGAGGGCCGACTTCCTTGTTTTGTGTGTGGGATGCAAGCTAATATATTGCAGGGTATGTCATTTACCATTGTAAAGTTATAAATGCATAGAAACTGTGAAGAACCACTTTACTGAATCAGTTAGCTCTTATAGAGTAACACCTTTGTAAAGGTAAGCTCAGTATTTCACTGTTATAGCTGTTCTCCTAAATGCACAAGTTCACCATTTGTGGCTATAAAAGATTGAGACTAAATCCAAAATGGTGAACATGCTGTCGATAAACAACACATGTCCATTCCAGCTCCTGTCATGAGGTGATGCTTAGGGCGACATTCAAAAGGTATTCGTCTCAGGTGCTATGCAGATAAGAAACAGTCTGTCTGCATTCCGTACTGCTGCTGCACCTTTTGTGCGCAAGTCAACCTCTGAAGTCTTTGAATTCCTAAATCCAGAGTCTTCTATTAACTACCTGTAAATGTGTTTCTTTATGATGGGTTGAGGGACCCACTGGCCAGCTTTTCTTTATCCATTACTGCTTCGCAATATCATAAATCAATCAGGTATCTGGAGTCGAGAAGCAAATGCTGCTCTTTTAGCCCAATCATTAATCAAGACCGTACCGTACCCCGTATTCCAGATCAAACCTTTTCCAGGAGAAACCCAGCTGCCAATCTCAGCAACATTGGTTGTTCTCTTTCTCAAGCATCACCACAATTCACTAGTTCCTAGTAAGACATCCAAATTGTTACTAAATGCAGTTGTTAGGAACCCTAACCCAATGACACTGAATGAGTGTAAATACAAAGCTTCCATTTCAGAAGCTAATAGAGGAAATCTCAAGTTTAAATTGTGATACAGTCTGCCAGACATACTTCAGCATGCAAGAAGATATGCATAGGTCTGAAGAAGTCTACAGGGGGCTGTTTTGTGAAGCGATGAGCTTGAACTGGATATATTTGGACCTGTGCATCACCACTTAGTAAGGACAAGTCATGTATGACATCACCCCAACAGTCTGCATGGAAGTGGGTAGACCCAGTTGAGAAAGGATTTTATTTTCCAAGAATGGGTTAGCTTGACTGCATCACATCATTTTTATTTATTCTAACAGCAGAAAGAGATTATTGCAACACAGAAAAAAATGTATTCATACTAAATTGTTATATCTCAAATGAATTGCAGCACTGTAGTGGCTTCTAATAATGTAAGCTAACAAATGTTTAGCACTTATACTTTTAGATCTGTCTAAAAAGTTTAAAAAAGCAATTATTCTATTTTCTTCTTTTTTGACTAAATTTTTTTTATGTTATTTATTTATTCATTACATTTTTATCTTGCATTAATGTGAAATGCGGCTATTTACCATTGAGAAATGGTCACTAGTTGTCT